GTGTCAGGGTGTCAGGGTTTTATGGTATCAGGGTATCAGGGTGTCAGGGTGTCAGGGTTTGGTATCAGGGTGTCAGGGTGTCAGGGTGTCAGGGTTTTATGGTATCAGGGTATCAGGGTGTCAGGGTTATCAGGGTTTTTATGGTATCGGTGTGTCAGGGTTTTTGGTATCAGGGTGTCAGGGTGTCAGGGTTGTAATGTGTCAGGGTGTCAGGGTTTTTTGGTATCAGGGTGTCAGGGTGTCAGGGATTTATGGTATCAGGGTGTCAGGGTTTTGGTATCAGGGTGTCAGGGTGTCAGGTGTCAGGGTTTTATGATGTAGGGTGTCAGGGTTTTTGGTATCAGGGTGTCAGGGTGTCAGGGTTTTATATGGTATCAGGGTGTCAGGGTTTTTGTATCAGGGTGTCAGGTTTTAGGGGTTTATGGTATCAGGGGTCAGTTTTTTGGTATCAGGGTGTCAGGTGTCAGGGTTTTATGGTATCAGGTGTGTCAGGGTTTTGGTATCAGGGTGTCCAGGGTGTCAGGGTTTTTATGGTATCAGGGTGTCAGGGTTTTTGGTATCAGGGTGTCAGGGTGTCAGGGTTTTATGGTATCAGGTGTCGGGTTTTGGTATCAGGGTGTCAGGGTGTCAGGGTTTTTGGTATCAGGGTGTCAGGGTGTCAGGTGTCAGGGTTTTATGGTATCAGGGTGTCACAGAATAGCGGTAAACTTCAACATATTCTCACACGTTTGTCTTCATCAGAAAACAAACACCATTTATAGACACTCATTGTGGTCATCAATCGTGTTCAACATATATATTCACAGCACTGTAGTGGAATAGTTGTAAACGTTTAGTCAATTGGTGTGTAAAGGTGTAATCTTCCGTGTAAAGACCTTGTTCACTGTTAATTTTACACCATTAGTATTTGTTCCTTCAGATACACCAGAGCGTTCCATTTCCTCGAGGCTGGGTGTGTGTAGTTGGAAGGTCCTTTGAATACTGACGGTGGTGATTCCCTTTTGAACTGTTGATATTGATCTCGTCTGGGTGAACTACATGATATGTTGGTCTTCCTCTGGTTGGTGGTCGTTAATCAAGTTTCTTTAGTTAGTGGATGTTATTGTAAACCAGAAAAGGAAAGTTCATTCGTAAAATAACATGATCCAAAATAATAAGTCATAATTCTTGTCTTATTTTGGCTTTGTTGTGATAGAATTTTAAAAACCAGAACAGGTAGTGGATGCCCTGTTAATGAGATGTTCATATGTTGACAATTTGGCAATATTTCACAGCTATTGAAGGTTTATTTAACAACTATTGTGTCTTTAAACCTTTTATTCTATTTATATAAACACAATATCGTCTATAACTGACCTTCTGATTGGTCTACATAAAGTTAACAATCATTCGCTGCATAATAATAACATCGTAACTTGTTATTGTAGTGTATAACTCAGTTCATAGGCGGCGCCACCGTCACCACCGTTCATCGAAAACTTGATCACTTGAACGTCTGAGTTACTATTGTGCTATTATTTCCTTGCTAGGTTAGGAGAAAAAAGACTGTGTGGACTGGGGGGCGAGAGGTCAGTTCAGTGATTAGTCAAGTGCAATGAGTGTGTGTGTGTAAACAGGAGGTCATGTCAGATCAAGTGGTGCTGTGATTGGTGCTGTGAAGGTCGAATCTGTATAACCGAACCCCTGGCAGAGATAACACAATCAAGAAGTGTAATCCGAGAAAGAGGTGTGGTCGGCCATCTTGTGGTGAGTGTTATGTGTTTTGTTATTTACTAATATTATGTTTATATCGTACTAAGGGGAGCTAGTGGTGCTATTACATATACTGGTGCTAGTGGCGTTATACTGGTGCTAGTGGCGTTCCTACACATACTGGTGCTAGTGGCGTTACAACATATAATCGTAAAATCCCACCATTACCACCACACTGAAGGATTAGTTCCGCCAGCACATATACCCTGTAATCACGACTGACAGCACAACGCTGTAATCACGGCTCTGTTATTGTTTTTACGACATAATCTCTTAAATCATATCTTCCTTCCTTCCTTATCGTCCTTCTCTTCCTCTATCTTCTGTTCATTTGTCTCCTCTATTTCACTTCCTCTTCCATCTTCTCTATTTCACTTCCTCTTCCATCTTCCCCTCTCCTCCTCCTCCTCGTCGTCAGGCTTGTGTTCCCAGCGTGTTATCTGTTAACTCTACCATGCACGGGAGCCAGATAAGACGTACGGGCTTGTCCTTAAATCTGGCCGGATGTACTTTAAGTCTGGCTGGTAAAGAAACCCTCTTCTCCCCCTCTCCCTTCCTCTCTCCTTCTCCTTCCTCTCCCCTTCCTCTCTCCTTCCCACCCCTCCTAATCTCTCCCCCCCATTGTCCCCCTTCCCATTCCCCTACCTCAATCAAGACCTCGATCTCAGTCTTCCTTCATTCCTCCATATCCTCTTTTATCAATATTCCTACAATCACCGTTTCTTACTTATCTGGTTCAATCTATTATTCCACTTTTCTATCCTTTTCTTTTTAATCTCATTCGTAACATTGGCCAACCCTGTGCAATGCTATTCTAAATCGATTCTCCATATTATCCATCTCTTTTATGGCTGGAAGTTCACCTCTCCCTGCCTTTTCATCTATTTACAAAACTACAGCGTATGTAAGTTAGAAAAGAATAGAATGGTTGTAATTACTCGCGTGTGGTAGAGTGGTGCGTGTGGCTGGTGTTACGGCAATAATATATGGGATGATAAATTCCGTTCTGGGATATGGTGGGTTGAGGCAGCGACAACGTGTTGGTGTAATAACCGACCTGTGATATTAAATAAGTAAATAATAATGTAACTATTATTTACTTATTTGATATAATCAGTGTATATAATTTGCTAGTTTATTGTTGTTTTGTGAAATTATATTATGGAGTGAATTATCTCTTTGCTGAGTTGCCATGTGGTCAAAGTCGGTTCTCTCTCCACACACACACACACACACACACACACACACACACACACACACACACACACACACACACACACACACACACACACACACACACCACCACCTCCATAACCCATCAATTATGACGAAAAATAATACCGTTCTCAGACACGCTCCAGACCATCCAATCAAATGCCAATAAACTAAAGCTGAGAATACACTGTCATCTGTTCAAGCTGAGGTGTACCAAACGTCCGGTCTACTTTACTCTTCTCTCACACGCCAAGCATTAAATATCCCCACCCCCACCCCCACCACACCTCTCCCCACCCCCCACCCCACCTCACTACCCCCTCCACCCCAATTCTCCTTCCTTCGTCGACGACGCCTGAAGGGGAGAGGTGGCGAAGAGGTTAAAGTTCTCGTGTCAGATTGATTCGTACACGATGGCTAAGTCTGCAAACTGAAGATGTAACTGACTTGACTTGACTTGACTTGACTTGACTTGACTTGACTTGGACTAGACTCTTGACTGACATAACCTGTAACATAAATCACCACACCACAACACACTTTATAGCTCACTACCGTACTAACACGAGGTAAAAAAATATTCCATGGGGAAAAATATCTCATTATCACTTAAAATAGTGTTAAGTATAAGTGTCTCCTTAAAAAAGTACTGTGTCGCGGGCGGGGTGGGTGGGTGGGCGGGGGGTGGGTGGGGAGGGGGTGGGGGGTATTTTATACTTTTTTGTCCTTATAAGTATCGTGTTCAGTATTCAGGTAATAATTCAGGTGTTCGTACATTTATCATAAGTTATCGAGATTTATACTACAGGAATGAATAAAAATATATGATGATAATATTACTGGTGTTGATGGGGAATCTCTCTCTCTCTCTCTCTCTAATAAGACAACACCAGGCCCTTAGTAAACACGGCCCCTTCACATAACACTACACGGACCACTTTATTGCTCCTAATGCTAAAGGATATTGACTCATACTACGCGGTGGTGGTAGTAATGAGTGTGGTGGTAGTAGTGGTGGTGTTAGTGGTAGTGTGTGTGTAGGTGGTAGGTGTGTGTGTGTTATGTGTACAGTACATGTATGTGCGTGTGTGTGTACATCACTGTATGCACCGAGGTCTTACACACAAATTAACTCGGCAAACCACACTAATTCGGGCATTCACCCCTCCCTCTCTCCTCCTCCTTCTCACCTCTCCCTCCCTCCTCCCTCTCTCTCTCTCTCTCCCTCCTGCCTCTCTCTACTTCTCCTCTCTCCACCCCTTCCTCCTCTCTTCCTCTTTCTCCTCCTTTCTCTTGCCAATTCCTCGTGTTCTGTTTCCTTTACTAATGCGTAAGTTCTTCTTTCCCTCGTGAAGGAACTTTTAAGTGGAGCTAAATACAGGTTATGAACAGTTTTTCTGGGGGTTGAATCGTGTCTTTGTGTTACTCTTATTTCCGGGTCGTGGTAAAAAGAAAATTATGTCTTATGTTATCTCCGGGTTGTGGTAAAGAGAAAATGGTGTCTTGTGTTATCTCAGGGTCATGGTAAAGCGATAATTATGTCCTAGAATTGCTGTTATCTCAGAGTTATGGTAAAGCGATAATTATGTCCTAGAATTGCTGTTATCTCCGGGTCGTAGGAAAGAGAAGATGGTGTATTTAAATTCAAGTTATATCCGGGTCATAATGGGGGTGTATCCTGTCCTTAAAAGCGTGTTATTTCCCGGTTCTACTGTACTCACATGAATTAGGACACTTCACACAATAGGACACATAATTAGGACATATTTTCAGGACACATTAACAATTAGGACAATTCTTTATATAGTCAATAACTTAACCTTAATCTAGAACAGTAAACACGTAAAGAGAAGAGACAACAAAAAGAGTAAGACTAAAGAAAATAAGAGAAGAAAATGAGGAGAAAGAACCAGGTGAGGAGGATAATTAATGACCAGGTGAGGAGGATAATTAATGACCAGGTGAGGAGGATAATTAATGACCAGGTGAGGAGGATAATTAATGACCAGGTGAGGAGGATAATTAAATAGTCGTTTCAGCTTAATCATTTTTATTTTGAAAGAAACTATTATCGCAGAAGGAACATAATAATAATAATAATGATAATAATAATAATATTCTCGATCAACAGAAAACACGAAGACGGGAGAGATAAATTAGAGACCAATTCAAAGTCGTTCTTTTATACAGTGTTGATGTTGTAACTAGGACAGACGCTCTCCCTGACGCCCCTCTAGCCTCTGGTGGCTGCTGTGGAGACTCTCCCTTCCTTCCTTGGTTCTCCGGCGGGTTCAGGAGCCTAGGGAGGGGCCCCGCGGAGGGCTGGGGGGCCGCCGAGCCCCTCCCGGGTGCCCAAGGGGGAGGGAGGGAGGGATGGAACAGCCTTTGAAGGTTGGTAGCGTCAAGGAGGAGGTGAGGGAGGGACTCAACGTTTGTACGGAGGCGGCGGATATAGGAGAGGCCTTTTGCCGCCGCCCAGGTCACCAGGCAGGTACCAAGTATCACCCAGTAGGTACCAGGCATCACCGAGTAGGTACCAGGTATCTCCCCAGTGTCACCAGGCATCACCAGGTAACACCAGGTAGATACCATACATCTTAAAGCTTCGTCCAAAGCTAAGTTTACCAGGACAGGTAGTACAATAACCCTAACATAATCCCCCACAACCACAGGCTATACTACAAACCGCCAACGAATAATAATAATAATAATAATATATAATGATACAATAATAATAATGATAACTAAAAAAATCAACTCCTTGGAGACTCCATAGAAGACAGAGAAGGTATTGTTGTTGCTGTTTATCAGTGACAAACAGATGACGCGATAGAGTGAGTATGAGAGGTGGGTGAAGGTGGTGGTGGGAGAGAGACAACGACCTGCAACAGAGAACAAGAGTTGGTGTCAGTCTCTCTCTCTCTCTCTCTCTCTCTATGTATTCAATAAATCGTGAAACATTTACCCCAAAAATTAATTCATATATGAAATTTATTAGTTTTTTGTCCCTACTATAAGTTTCTTTTTGTCTAAACACGAGAATAATTTATCATCCACAAGTAAAATTGATTCTTTTGTCCACTTAAGAATTTTGTAACCAATATATTTTTGTCTACATAAGTAAATTTTTTTTCCACACAGTTGAATTCTATTAATTAATTTTGTTAATATAAGAAAATTTTAATAACTTTTTTTTTATCCATACATAAAAGTTTAACTCCTGTTTTTGGTTTTTTAATTTAAGGGGAAAAGTATGAATCGTGGTGAAAATTTTGAATCATTTATTTCATCACAAATACAACATTCATATTATACTTTTTTCTGTATGTTCTTTCTTATTAAATAACATAAAATTTCTCTCCACAATAAATAAGGAAAAAAAAATAAGAAGAAGACCCTTGAAGCGGACTGACTTACTCATCACTCTTCCTCTTCTTCCTCCTCCTCCTCCTCTTCTTCTTCCTCTTCTTCCTCCTCCTCTTCCTCTTCCTCTTCTTCTTCCTCCTCAGGCTCTGGTGGTGGAGGAGGTTCCAGCTCCTCTTCAACTTCTTCCTCTTGTGGGGATTCGGGTTCGTTGGCCTTCTTGCCTGGACGCTCACCGAACCACTTGGGCAACTTGGCTACAGGGATGAACCGGTGTTATTAGTTCAGCGGCTCCATAGACCAATGTTAAACCTAACTTACACTCGCGCCCGGTCCGTTGCCATGTTAGGAATCAACTACGAACAATTAATTACTGTCTGTCACCTGTTTACAAAGATTAATAATTGATTTTTCCTTCGTTCTTATCCAGCAAGATCAATAATAAAGTGACTATTCCTGGTTATTACCTGGGAGAAACAATAACCGTGACTCTCCCTTGTTCTTATCTAGCATAAACCATAAGTGACTCTCCCTTGTTCTTATCTAGCATAAACCATAAGTGACTCTCCTTTGTTCTTATCTAGCAAAAACAATAATAAGGTGACTTTTCCTAGTTATTATCGAGCAAAAACAATAATAATGTAACTCTTCCTAGTTCTTACCTGGCAGGGAAACACAGCAACAGACTAAAGAAAATTAAATATACTTTCTAAATGTTTTCTTTTAAGACATAGACAAGTTAAAGCTCTATTACGTCACTTAAATAAACAGTTACGTCTTCAACACAACTCCTGACAGCTGATTGAGACTCATGCTTGTATTATGAATGTTTGTTTCACTCTGTGTGTGTGTGTGTGTGTGTGTGTGTGTGTGTGTGTGTGTGTGTGTGTGTGTGGGTGGGTGGGTGGGTGGGTGTGTGTGCGTGTGTGTGTGTGTGTGTGTGTGTGTGTGTGTGTGTGTGTGGGGTGTCGTATATAAACATAGGTATTGTGTTCACTCCACTAGATAACCTTTTCAATGACCAAACAACTCAATGGCTCAGACAGTCTCAGAGGCTGTGTTGATTGTAAACAAGCCAAACTAAACCGGTAAACAATATAAACAATGAAACAATTTAATAATATGTCAAACAACGTAAATACTCACATATTTGTCTACTTAAATGATGTCCTTTGAAGTAAAATTAAATATAAATCATAAAAAAAAATATATATATATACTGTATATATTTGATACATATTTTAATAACATGCAAAAGGCAACACCACACAAGAAAAAACAGACGGGTGTGTTTGATATAAAAGCCAACTATAGTACTGTTAACACACAAACGGCGGGAAAACACACAAAAACACTAACAAATCACAAACCTTATTTTTAACTCTGAACTCAGGAATGCGAAAAATATCCCAGGGATAATAATAATCCTAGATATATACCAAGAATCCTCAATATATCCTGGTAAATCCTAGATATATTGATAGTAATCCCTGTTTATATTACTCCCAAAGATGATATAGGACTCCCTGATATATCGTGAGGTCAGTTAGCTTATAAATATTGTTATAGGAAACATGCTGAGAGTGGAGAGGAGAGAGCGCGTGTATTGCACCGTAGAGAAAATAAACTATAAACTCAAATAATAATAGTAATAAACGTTGAATAGTGATGAGGGGAAATATATAGCAGTGTCCTCGGCTATTAGAATGAACGCCAGGATCTGTTTGTTGGCTGTGTGAGGTTTCATGAGACTGATCACAACAACACTTATGTAAACATGTTTTAGTGGAGGTTTATATCAGAGGCTGGAAGGTGGGTGTGTGTGTGGGTGTATGCGTGCACACACATACACAAACACACACACACGCCAAGAAGGTATCGAGGCATCTTCACAACCCCGACATAACACACAACATATTGTAAGTAGTGTTGATGGCAGACAAAACCCAATCTAAGATGTTTTAAAATAAGGATTAATAATCTATGTAGTATAATGACACGAACCAAACGAAAATAAATGAAAATTAATAATTATATTTTTTATTTGTGTTGTAATGGCGCGGAATAAACAGTTTTTTCGCCGTGGCAGCAAGCAGCTGTACACGACCAGGAAGTCATAAATATATATTATTGTTATCTGTTGGCAGCTTAAAGACAGCGTAAATGCACAAGTTAAGCTTATGTTATTTAAGTATAAATATGAACCTGCCTCATGAATCTGGAGACAGTGAGTAAAAACCTGCTTTGAAATTGGCCCAAAAAAAAACCAAATGATAATCGCAGCATATATCATAAACACAAAAAGAAGCAGCGGTGATTATTATTAATTCCGAAAAAATAAAATAAAACAAATTTAAGCAGAAAAAAATAATACAACTTATAGCCAATTAAAGATTTCAAATAAATAAATAAATATACGGTATTAAACAATGGAGAAATTATTATTATTGTTATTTTTTCTCTCCCTTACCCTTCGCGCGAGCATCGAACTGTGACCTGAGATCTGACCACTTCTTCTCTTTCTCCTCCTTAGTCATCGCAACAATACCCTGAGGATGCGTCAGATAAAAGGAAATTGGGGGTCATTTTTAGTCATCACACATCACATCACCACACACTGCAGAGGGGGGGTGGGGGGTAGAGGTAGAGTGTGTGGGTGGAAGAATGAAGTTAAGTCTGGTCAGGTGAACGGTGTGGGAGGTCGAGCATCTTCAGGAGTGTTGGGGTCAGGGGAGATAAATGGTTTAAATTCAGGGCTTCAGAGTTGGCATGAAGCACGTACATAGCTATATATACATACACACACACACACATACACATGACATTCACACACACACATACATACATAGACACAAACACACAGATTCTAAAAGCAGTATGGTGCCAACTTTGAACTCCTGATAAACATATAAAAACAGGTCATGGTGTGATGGGGGGGGGCGGTCCATACACTGCCATCCCCCCCACTCTTCACCACCCCCCACCATCACCACGTTAACACACACTTCAGGGGACGAGGAGGGTGGTGGGGTGGGGGGTAGGGAACAAGTAAGTGGGGGAGCAAACAGTACAGTATGTGTGTGTGTGGTTAAGGAACTGAGGACTTCAGTACAAAACGAAACTTAAAAGATTTTTAGTTTTAGTTTCAAAATAAAAATCGAGATGACGTTAGTATTAATGGTGGATGTAACGTAGAAGTTTTGTTACTCCAAAAAATAATTAACTAGAAAAAAATTAAAAAGTTAAAAAAAAACGTAAAATTAACTTTTTTATATTTGTAATTTTAGAGACTTTAAGAAACAACTGATAAAGGATTGATAGTTATGGCGGTGAGGAACTGGAGTGAAAAAATGGATGAACTACAAAAGATGTTTAAAAAATAGAAGCCCAGTAGATTGTTTTGACTTTTGTTTTCACGGAGAACAAACAATAGGGTTGAGACGCTCGAGCAGCAGCAGGCAAGAGTCTGCATCTTAAACACGGTGTGGTTGTTAGCTTAGGAGGAGGACTAACGCCATGTGAGGCTCTCTGGCACTCTCCCGCTCAACTGGAAGTCAGCTGCAGATGCCAAGGTGGCTATTCTAATACAACAGAGGACAAGAGTAGCTCGTTCTCTCTTTCTTTCATGGAGCTAAACAAACACCGGGTACTGAAGACGCGGCTGACCGTCGTCCATCACCACCTACTGCACACCAACACTTCCAGGCGATGCTTTTTGCCTTCGAACACTTAAAGGAATCTTTCCGAGACTTGACGTACTGTTGGAGACCAAGTCCAGCACCCCTCCACAGTGGTTGGGTCTTCGAATAGTTATAAATATCTTTCTTAGACTCCCCAGCCTTGTGGAGGAGTACAGTGAAGCAGAACTTTCCTCTGTCTCAATACTCGTGTCTTAGAACTTATGACGAAAGTGATCCGAGTCCCCAAGCATCGTCGAGAAGTAAGTTAGAGCAGGACGGCGTACCTCTACACGACGCTTGTGCCTTCAGACTCACGGCAGAGTGGCTGCAAAAGTCCCCAGCCTCGTCTAGATGCACGTCTAAGAGCTGTAGACGAGGTCAGCCGCGTGTGCGTCTCCGATGTGTGTATGTGTGTGGAAGGGGAACGTTCGCTCAACTATAATCAAGACTACCAGCGAGAGATGCCTATCACAGAGGCCTTTACTGCTACGTCGAACACAAGTTCCGGCAGTCGGCCGTACTTACACTTGGTCCTGTTGACAAACTCCTCGTACTTTTCCTTCCAATACCTCTCCATCTCCTCGCTGTGTACAACATCCCAGCCCTGGAGGTACAAGTGTGTTGGAAGTCACATTAAGGGGGGGAAGGGGGGCAAAAAAGAGGGGGGGACATTTCTTTAATAGATCAGCGGGGCGAGAACGGCATCTGCGAGTTATTTAGCCGCTTCGCCCGGAGGTCTCATTTTGTTGTTTTAAGGGATCCAACCAGAGGAAACCACCAAGCCAGCGAGCCGTACTTACACTTATTCCTGGACATATACTCCTCGTACTTGGACTCCCATAGTTTTTGAAGAACCTCTTTGTGAACAACATCCCATCCCTGACAATAAACGGTACACCGAGTAAACATGAGGAAGCACAATCAGTTAATTTGTGAGATACTTACAAAATCCTGCTTGGAGGGGAGGAGTGGGGGGGGGGGTCAAGGTACTGTAACTCGCAACCAACCACATAGAAAAACAATGAAGGGGAGGGGGCACTGCTGAGGTTGGGTAACATCTTTACTAATACAAGAGGGAAGGGAGGGAGAGGGGAGAGGCGGTTACTCCCCATGTCGTAGGGCAACTTCAAGCGCGTGTGTGTGTGTGTCTCTTTTCACCAACAGTCTCTACTCACACTTTGTCCTTTGCATAAATTCTTCATATTTATCTTTCCAGATCTTCTCCATTTCTTCCTTGACAACAATATCCCAACCCTGTGTGTAAGGTAAAACACGCCGTGGGGGGTTGCCTTACTGAGAGACCCTAAGCCAGGTGGAGGTGTAGTCAACCTTTACTCTTTATACAACACCTGGCTTTTTTACTACACCTGGCTTCAACTTTACACATGGCTTTGACTTTACACCTGGCTTTGACTTTACAACACCTGACTTTAACTTTACAACACCTGACTTTAACTTTACAACACCTGACTTTAACTTTACAACATTTGGCTTCAACTTGGGAGTGAAAAATGAAGATGTTTTCGTAGATATTAGTAATATTATTATTATTATTATTATTATTATTATATGAAGCTCTGGGTTTGTTATTGATTGTACTTAATTCCTTTTGTTTTTTGAGGTAGAAAGTTAACCTTACCGAAGTATAAACAATAGAGTTAGAAAGACTTAAGTATATAAAAAAAACAAAAGAGAAATACTACGTTAAAAGAATCTGTTGGAGTAGAAATTAGTCCAGTAAAAATAAAATACGAAGAAAAAAACAAAAGCTTGAGTTATGAGTTAAGAGAATTTGTTTTGTTTATTTATTTTCTGAAAGAGGTAACGTAAGATGATGACCAAATGCTGTTCTGTCTAACCTAACCTTTCATTATCGTGTTCGTCCGTAATGCAGGAGAAAGAGAGAGAGGATAAGGGGGGGGAAGGGGGAATAAATGGGTGACCGAGATCGTAATAATGGGGAAGGAGTAAAAGGGGAAGATGTAAAAGACCAAAAATAAATAAAAATAAAAAAGTGACCAAAAATTAATATTGGTAAGAATAATTATAAGCTGCGTCAACGAGTGTCAGTCAAATAAACATTCTGTCAGTCTGTCAGTCAGTTGGTGAATCAAAGCTGTGATTCATGGAGTTTGCTGACGCAGCTTTAAGAGAAAAATATAAAGGAGGGGGAGAATTATATAACAGGATTAAAACGAAATATAAATAATAATTAAAATTATCCAAATAGTTAAAGAAAAATATATATTAATGAATTTTGACAAAACTTGGGGAGAAATTATTATCCTCATACCAAAAAAATAAAAATTCAAAATGAGGACAATTATAAAATAGTAAAAAACCCAAAAAGACAAAAATGCAAAAATAGAAAACTGAACTTAGGACTTTTAGATAAATAAGGTGAAATAAATTAACTTAAAATATAAAAAAAAGAGGACCACTTATTTAAAAAAAATCCTTCAAAAATTGTCACATGAAAAAAACCAGTGTAAAGTAACTTAAGGTTTGAGAACAACTTAAAGTCCTCTCGTTAAGTAAAAAGTCTTGGTCTCCTACTTAAACATGATATTATTTTACTATTAAACCCTCTTACTTAATACTTCCTCATCCCTACTTATAAAACACTTAAGTCTCCTATTTGTTCCCTACTTATAAAACACTTAAGTCTCCTATTTGTTCCCTACTTATAAACACTTAAGTCTCCTATTTCTTCCCTACTTATAAACACTTAAATTCTCCTATTTGTACTTAACTGTAGGCTTAAAGTCTCCTATTTCTACTTACAATACTTATCTTAGCTTGGGATCATACTCCACTGCCATTATTTCACTTAGAAAACACTTTTCCCTCTAAATCCTCTTACTGCTACTTATGATAGTATACTTAGAAGTGACTTACGAACTAAGTCCTTATTCCCTTTTTTACTTATAAACACTTAAATCCTCATTATAAAGAGTTAAAAGTCTAAATTTGTACTTCTATCTTCTACTTATAAATACTTAAACCCTTATCACAAAGTCGTAAAAGTGTAACTGGTTTACTTATATCTCCTCCTACTTATAAAACACTTATATCCTCAATATCCTGGTATCCTTATATCATCCTAAAGTGTCCTATTTCTTACTTATATGGTCTAGGTTTACTTATAAAGTGTAGTAGTGAGATACTTACACCCTCGAATAGCTTTTTCTTGTCGTCATAAGTCCTTCTGTCTGTACGACGCTCAAACTTGGAAGCTGTTTGGATCTTGGGCTGTAAGTAGAGACGGTTGGGTGTGAGATGTGGGCGTAGGAATACTTAAAATGGGTGATATGGGCGTGATATTCTTGTTTGTGGGCGTAGGAATGTTAAAATGTGTGAGATGGGCGTGATATTCCTGTTTGTGGGCGTAGGAATGTTAAAATACGGGATATGGGCGTGATATTCTTGTTTGTGGGCGTAGGAATGTTAAAATGTGTGATATGGGCGTGATATTCTTGTTTGTGGGCGTAGGAATGTTAAAATACGGGATATGGGCGTGATATTCTTGTTTGTGGGCGTAGGAATGTTAAAATGTGTGATATGGGCGTGATATTCCTGTTTGTGGGCGTAGGATTACTTAAATAAATAATTTGGGCGTAATATTGCTCCAGGAATCTCTTAAGTGACTTAAAAGGGCGTATAAGTACTATAATGGGCTCTCTTAAGTAATGGAATATGGAAATACAAATACTTACATAAACACAAAAAGTAAACTCTTAAGTAAAAGGGGAAAAATAAACAAGTACAATAATGATGAATAGTGAAAGATAACATGATAAAAATGGTGATAATTTTGAGCAGGAAGTAAAGGATTATATAAGAGAAGAAAGAATTATATAGTGAATGAAGATAATTATGGAGAATAAAGGTAATTATTATTATATAGAACGAATAGAATAATAATATAATAATACTAAAACGTGATATAATACTTACTGGATGTTTACCAGTGAGTGCCCTGTGATGGAGGTACAAAGTGGAGCATTAATAAAAAAAAAATATATATCATTATATCGAGTCATATAACACCATCAACATATATCAGATATACAAAGGCAACTAAACATTAACATAGAATGAACACGATGAAGCGATCAATTTGTGAGTGAGATTTAGGATATATATACACGTATAATGTGCTCTAAATAAATTGAAGAAGAAAATATGATTATTTTTTAAGAGTTGAAGAAAGCCGACATGCAAGCGAGAGGCAAATATGAACCAATGTTTAAAAGAGATACCACGACCGTTATGACCACTAAGTTATTTATCTTATTTACGGTTCATTTTTTTTAAGCAAAAGATTTGATCCAAGCTAAACCTAACCTATCTTTACTTAAACTACTCTAGGGTTGTTAGGTTAGGTTTGAGTTAGTTTATCTCGTGTGAAAATATAACAAAGAAGTTTTGAAATGGTCCCGTTCGTTGTATTTTTTTAAACATTGTAAGATTTGCCAGCGTAAGACATTGACTACCCGGAATTTGAATGTTCGAAATTACATGAATAGTGAGTCTGACCTACGTATTTTTCATCTTATTTATCACAACAATGACCCCTGACCTTTGACCTATAGTTCTGAGGTCACCAAAATAGCTCCACACACTAGATATATTGACCCAGTAAACGTGCTAGTGAAAGGATTTTTTTTTTTTTACAATATGCTTTTGTGTTTTAAAAAAGATTCTACATTGAGTGAATTTGTTTAAAGACTATTCAAACATCTTCAAGTGGTTCCGATACTTTTAAATGACTCACATAAAAAAATCAAATACTTTATAATAATGATCTTGAATACCTTATAATAATCTTAATGCCTTATAATGATTCAAAACCATATAGGAAGGTTATCGAGATATAAATACCTTACAGAGAATCAAATACCCCCCTTGAAAGCTAGACGAATGTTTAATAAAGATTCGAATAAATGAAGAAAAAAATCGAATAGGTCAGAAGGGATCGAATACCCCAAACAGTACTAAGACAACACTACTGATAACAACACTAACAGCGGTGAAGATATAGGAGTTAAGTGATACATGACGTTACAATAGAGAAGATAGCGGTGTAGAAATTTCATAAGAATGCTTGAGAAAAAAAAAACAGCGTTGAAAGCTATACATCTGTCACACAAGCGTTGAAAGTTAGAGAGCAGTTAGAAAATAAAAGCCCAAATAGCTGTCGTCACTTTAGTAAAACTTTCAAAGAACTTCAGTCAAAATAACTATGAAAACAATGAAAGAGGAACGTTAAACACAACATCAAAGCTGTAATTAAACATCACACTGCCATAAATTATTCAACATCAAACACAGCATTGAGAGAAGCACGTCAGTCAAACAGATTACACAAGAAGAAGAAAAAGAAGAATATCAACCCACACTTAGCGCTTAAACGTGAGGGAGTAAGCTAATCAACGTGGTTGGGGGGGGGGGTGAACTTTCTGGCGTTGTTAAAAAGTTACATAATATCAAAGGGGCTGTAAATGATGTAGCAACAGCAGTAATAACAGCAGTAATAACAGCAGCAATATCCAGACAAATAGAGCGGTATAATCTCTTCTCTTTTGAATAATGTACAGCCACAATAATCTAATCAACAACTTTAATGAGGAAAATTTACTTTTATAGTGACGTTCAGTGATTTCAAGTTTAATAATATTGATAAATTTCCATGTAAATATAAATCATAAAATTCTCAACTAATTTGGTTTTGTTTTTTATTTGTCAGAAAATAATATAGTTTCGTTAACCGTCCCGATGGCTGTGACGTCACGGTATAGGGGAGACTGTACTGTTATGGCGGCTACTCTTTATGCTACTATTTAATTCTGATCCAGTAAAGGCCGATCAATGGTGAAGAGGATAAAGGAATTGAAACAAATTTGCTCAACGCTTAAGAAGAAAATAATCATCGTCTGAATCTTCGTCAATCTGAATTACTGCGTTTAAAAGTATTATATTTTATCGGTAAATTAATTCTGGTATAATATCGGGTATATTATCGGGAGAGATCGGTTCCTGGTGTAGTGAAATTAATTATATTTTACTTATCTAAAACACCTTCGTGATTCCCTCTGAGTATCATCAACATTGTCAGAGAAATAACACTGGAAACGTGAACAAATAGACAATATTATCTAATACAATACATATATTCCTTTTTATGGGCAGACAGAGAAACTAAAGCTTTCTAGGTGCATATTGTAGTCCAGGTTTACACGTTCACAAAATATTGGAACCACAAATACGTCTGCCGGAATTGGGACACTGGTGGCGAGAGCAATATAATATTTTCGCTTAGCACTACTGTCATTATTACTATGTCGCAGGCAGGAAAAGCTGTGGCTCAAAGAAAGGCCAGGCCATGCAATGCTTTCCCATATGATGAGAGGAGTAGGACCGGGAACCCCTCACAGGGATACCGGGCCGACCCCTACACCGCCATGCTCATGCTGCCGAGGCCCTATTGGCTCGCTTGTCTGCCAAGACGCACAAACCACCAATCACCTTCTCACTTTGAAGCTGACTCTAAAAAAACTTACTCTTCTAAAGGAAAACAAATATAAATATATAGATACAATATTAACGTAAGCAACTATAATTGAAAAGGACAAAACAAGAAGACGAAAAAAGTCGTGAAAACTAAAGTAGGTGTGAGTAGCGCAGTTTATGTCCAGGTATTAACTGTGCAATATTACAAAAAAAAATATAGAAATGAGAACAATATTTCTAAAGAGCGCATCACGTTGGTTTAAAGAAGCAAAAATACAAACAGTAATAATAATAATAATAATGTTATATAATAAAGTAACATCAATTATAATAGAACTAATAAAAATGTTCATCAAATTATTAACATTGAAAACACAAACAAATAAAATTAAATATACAAAAAAAAAAACACGATCGTGACTCACATAATAGAGAACAGTAGAAAAAATACTTTGTACTAAAATATTAAAAAAAAAAGAGATAGAATTCAAAATAAACTCAGCTAGAGCAGTAAGTGATTGAAGAAGGGGATGGTGGTTGTGTTCCAGCCTGCCACAACTTACTCGGGATCCAACCCGCGTTTTTGAGCCTTATGCCTCAGTTGTTGCTTCTGCCGTTCTTTCAACTCCTTCAACTGTAAAAATGTGGGACACTTTTGAAATTTCTGAAGCGAAATTTATTTATTTTTGTGGAGGGAAGACGAATCACCCAAAAGTAGTTCCCCTTTTTTTTTAGAAGAAGATGAAGAGACGAAGGGATGGCAGCGGGAATGAGAAAGAAAGATGAAAACAAACACCTCGTCGACGTGTGTACACTAACAACCTCCAGAATATTTTGATCTTCTTTGGTTTCGACGATGAGTTAGTTAGTCTTAGAACGTGAGCTAACATTAACAATAAAGGTAAAAATAAAATAAAAAAGGTTTATTGGGTATTTGTGTTGGGTGTTACCATTTTGTCACCCGGGTAAGTTAACTCTCAACTTAAGTCCGCGGAAAAGAGAGAGAGAAAGAGAGAGAGAGAGAGAGATAGAGATAGAGTGAAGAAGAATGTCCTTGTCGTGGTGGTTGTGGTTCCTCTTGTAAAATTAGACCAAATTCCCAATATTCAATAGAGACAGACCTTAGCAGACCCTTGGCTTGTCGAGATCTCAAAATTTATAAAAAATAAAAGATATTTGTAAAATTGTGATCTTACAGAGCCAAGACATAACCTCAAGATTCCAAAACATGTGGTGTTGAATGGGTCACCTGAACCACATGTGTTCAAAGCTTGAGCTAACTCCTTCCATTCAACACCTGGCAAGTGGTTCATTTTAAGGTTCATGGATTTTTCAGGGTTCGTGGATCTTTTAGGGTTCGTGGTTCATTTTAAGGTTCATGGATCTTTCAGGGTTCGTGGATCTTTTAGGGTTCGTGGTTCATTTTAAGGTTCATGGATCTTTCAGGGTTCGTGGATCTTTTAGGGTTCGTGGTTCATTTTAAGGTTTATGGATCTTTCAGGGTTCGTGGATCTTTTAGGGTTCGTGGTTCATTTTAAGGTTCATGGATTTTTCAGGGTTCGTGGATCTTTTAGGGTTCGTGGTTCATTTTAAGGTTTGTGGATCTTATCTGGTAAACTTGTGATTCAACTCAAGTTAACCAGCTAGAGGAATTCTTCACGTTTCATCTTGTGGAAGCTCAAGGGTGAGGACAATGAGTTTCGAAGATTATTACACTATTACCTGAGAGTGAATCTGTGTGAAGGCATCAACCGGTTACCTTCAACTATACCATAAATCTTACACTGAGATTATACCTATTGACTTGGCACTACTGAAGACGTGGGTAAAAAGATCTTGGGGAGAGAATTTGTACTTTAATGTTGTCCGGTACTGAGTGAACGTTTCTGACTAAGGAAGAATGAGTCTCAGGTTAAATCAGGTGGTCAATTTGAACGTTATTCTTGCACTTTAGTTTAAGTCGACCAATTAAGCGTATTCGTACGCTGACTAGTCACCGTAAGAATCTTTTAAGAATCTCGACTCAGGGATTAAGAATCTCTCAAGAGTATTGTGAGACTCAACAAGATCCAATCACACTTAAAATAGATCAACACCAGCCAGACGTTGTGTTGAGGTGCTCTGGTGCGGTGAATCTTGGGACAGTGGCACCGAGAGAATAAACGGCTTTAGGGTGTGGGGGGGGGGCTGAAGTATAATAGTCCCATGCAGAGAGAAGTAATGATAAAAACCGTGTGAGAGACAAAAGCACTGAAGAACTGGGGGGGAAGACGACAGAATGGAACAAAGATGAACTTACTCCGCGTCAAGGCCCTTCTTCAAGGCCTTTTGCCTGAGCTGTTGCTTCTGGCGTTCTTTGAGCTCCTTCAACTGTAAAATCATAGCACAATACATGTGTATAAGAACCTTGTCGAGTTCTTAAACGAGTGTTGACGGCTCCTATGGGGATCAACAACTTAAATCGCGCATATTGAAAACAAAAATTAAGACAAGTCAAGTGTGATTTTTTGGGTAAATATCACCTGGTATGTTTTATAGTTATTTAGTAAGGCATTTAATGGGTCAGGTATAAACCAGTGATTCACAGAGGGATGGTTGAAGTAACAAAATAAGAACGGACTGACAGACTGCGAGAGAACGGAACCAAAGCGAAGGGAGGGAGAGGAGAAGCTCGGAATAAATGCACCAGATAAAGAAAAAATCGACAACTTAAGAATTCCGGGAGTGAGAGCAAGTTAGTAGTTGTGGTGACGTGTGGATGTTAGTCGAACTTAAAATAAAGATAAAATGTCGACGAAATTGAGAATAAGAACGAAATAAAATAGAACAGTTGAAAGCGTATAACATAAGAAGCCCCGAAGCATTGTTGCCCCCCTCCCGCCTCCCCCCACCCGCCACCCGAAGCTCTCTTGCACACCTACGTCTCGAGGTCATTTTTAATTTTGACGAATATGGATTATGAGACAAATTGTTGAGGAGGAGACAAACTGGTCAAAACAGGCGGTGAAACGTAATGTAGAGGACCTAGGTGACTGCAACTAGGGCAGTGAACTCTACTGTAGGTGAAACACTAGACACGGGGGAGGTGACGACGACACAGAACTAGGGGGTGGCGAGACACAGAAGGTCAACTTACTCGGGGTCAAGGCCCTTCTTCAAGGCTTTTTGCCTGAGCTGTTGCTTCTGTCGTTCTCTTAGTTCCTTCAGCTGCAACATAGCAATTCCAGAATTAATCCAATGCCTAGCTGTGCAACTTGCAGATGGCCGACAGCGAGGACAGTCATTAGTAACTTGAATTACTAATATTGAAGATTTTTTGTGTTTATTTTTCGTTCAGCCTCGTTGGGGGGGGAAGTTTACCTGTACATCGTTAAGGGAGTCGGATACTTTATCTTCGGCTCAACACTCTGATGCCATAGACTGAGGACCAGACGCCTTATATTATTTGTCTTAGTTAATAATGAGGGAAGTTACCAGAGTGGATGACTGGATGTCTTAACTGGTTGGAGGATCAATTGGATTTATCAAACTTTGGGTCAAATTTTATGCAATTTAATGAGGATTGAATTATTTTGCATCCGTTATTTGGGAGTTAAGAAAAATGGACTCCAAACTTGATTAAAAAACCATTATTGGTGGAACAGGAAGGAATACTAGTTACATCTTTCAATTATTATATCAAGGGAATAAAAAATAATAATAATTTGCTTTTAGATCAAAAAATTATGTGGGATATTATTGATATATAAGACATCTCATGACTGTTCTTCATTTGTTTTTGTTTTGTTATTTTGGATAAAAATTTCAAGTCTTTTGTTGTATATAGTTTTTGACCTTATAAATGCGGACCTCGAGAGAGTGAGAGAGTGAGAGAGATGAGGAGAAGGGAAACTGAAAAAGGCAAAATATCCCCAAATGATTTAGAAAAACACAAAAAAAACATGCATAAATATAGTATAAAAGGTTAAACCAAAGAAATAGAAAAGATAAAACAGCGAAAATCTCCTTAACTTAAATAATAAAACATGCAACAGTGGCACTCATAAATCTTTTTTTTTTTTTTACTTTTTTTTTTTGAGGGTTTTGGAGTGATGTTGGTTTATGGGATACATAACTTGGGTTAAATATAAGGAGGATAAAGCATAGAATAAAGTTAATAAATGTTATAATCTGTAATATTTTCTGAAATAGGAGGAATTAATTAACATACCATGAAATTTTGTCTATACTAATCTTTAAGGTACACTGTATAGCTTTTGTTTAACCCTGCCACCAGCTAAAGTTAGTAAAAATCCTTATAAGAAATACTGATAGCTTTTGTTTAACCCTACCACCAGCTAAAGTTAGTAAAAATCCTTATAAGAAATACTGATAGCTTTTGTTTAACCCTGCCACCAGCTAAAGTTAGTAAAAATCCTTATAAGAAATACTGATAGCTTTTGTTTAACCCTGCCACCAGCTAAAGTTAGTAAAAATCCTTATAAGAAATACTGATAGCTTTTGTTTAACCCTACCACCAGCTAAAGTTAGTAAAAATCCTTATAAGAAATACTGATAGCTTTTGTTTAACCCTACCAGCTAAAGTTAGTAAAAATCCCTGTGAGAAATACTAAAAGCATCCTTAACCCTACGAGCTAAAAGTCTAAAAATGGAGAAGAAATTTAACTAGGAATAATTATATTATTGGAACCATGTGTTGACAGATTCGATTTTTTAGAAGTCTCTCTCGTTGTGTTTGTTTTTATGGACTTTAATGGCCCGGGCCTTTAATCAACGTTCACTTGGTCTTTGTTCCTTTATTAAGCAATTTTGTTTTTGAAAGATAATAAAGGTTTTGTATTATTTTGGTTTATATTTTTAAAGTAAATTATCAAGCAAAGTATTTATCCAGGTGTGTGTGTGTGTGTGTGTGTGTGTGTGTGTGTGTGTGTGTGTGTGTGTGTGTGTGTGTGTGTGTGTGGTGTAATTAGACCTGTTGATCTCTTAAGAAATACAATCTATAATTACAATGGAAAAATCCTAACCTAACCAATACTGCTAATTTTAAGTGAGCAAAGTCCTTACTATATATACATTTAAATTTTATTTTTAACTAACTAAAATATTTAGGTCTACTTGAAATAAGCTTACAAAAGAAATGTCAGGTGTTTATATATTGATGTAACGTTTCACTGAGTCAAAATATAAGTTAAGTCGAAAGCCAAAGAATTTTTTCAAAGAAATAGATTAAACTAATTACTATACATTTATAATTAAAAACTGGAATAATTAACCCCCTAAATCAAGAAATAACCATTAATTTACAAACTCAAGTCGACGTAAACTGGATCAAGTACAAACAAGTGATCAACTAGCCCCCCCATCTCTTTGTTTACCCAAGGTTACTGTTCCCACCAGAAAGACTTACGTCGTAGTCCTGGCGTTTCATCCTCTCCTCCATGTCGTACTTCTCAGTTTCCAGCTTAATGATGAGATTCCACATTTCGTCAGCCTTGCATCGGAGGCTTGAGGAACCAATGCCATCAACGTTGAGGGGCTTGACTCGGATGGAAAGAGCGATCTTCTTCTCCTCGGCCAGCTGCTCGCGGGTCTTGCCCAACTCGCCCTTGGCCGCTTGGATGTTGGAGAGCTGACGAGAGAAAAAAATGGTTAGACGAGGTCGATTTTTTGAAGATGGAGAAATAACTTGAAGGTGGAGAGGTTATTTGAGGTTTTGGGAGGTTGGAGAGTGGTTATTTGAGGTTTTGGGAGGTTAGAGAGAGGTAATTTGAGGTTTTGGGAGGTTAGAGAGAGGTTATTTGAGGTTTGGGAGGTTGGAGAGAGGTTATTTGAGATTCTTGGAGGTTGGAGAGAGGTAATTTGAGATTCTTGGAGGTTGGAGAGAGGTTATTTGAGGTTTTGAAAGCGGGTTAGGTTAGGTTAGGTTGGGTCATTATGGAGAATCAGGAACTAAACAAACACTCACCTTATCGCCTCCCTTTGAACCGAACTTCTTAACACCATCCTGAAAACCATAAGAAGAAGAGTTCAGTTTAGGTGAGTGCCTTAAGACGTCAGAATATGTGAGACACACTTCAAAAAAATCTCAATATTATGTATACTCTAAAATCTATCTCTGTTGTTTGTCTATAGATGTAATATTTTTTTTTAATAATTTTCATTTTAACATGATATATTTTGTACACATGATAGCATACATATTATAGATAAGAATTAATAATAACATTTGTAAAAAATATTATAAACTTACGGTGACACTTATCAACTAGATACACATGTTAAAAAAAATAAATAAAAAAAGTCAATTTGACGGAAAGGAAGAAGAAGAAGAAGTAGTAACATAAATAAAAAGATTAGTTAAATTCGTCATGGCACAAGATGAATAAAAGTTACCCAATAACTCAAAACAAGTGTCAGGACTCTGCAACAAACACGGTCACTCGTATTATTAACAGGGAGTAGAAAAGACGTATCAGTAAATTAAAACATTGTGGAATAACGGTGTGAGACAGAGAAATTTGACAGGTAGGAGGATCCATCTCTGCGAATACCACGTTAATGAAGGGAATCCAATAATAAAAAAAAAATATATACAAATTTAATAAAACACGATTTTTTGTGTTTTGGGGGAGACATTTAAGATTACTGATAAACAAGAGAATAAGATAGAGAGAATAAGAGACATAGGAAGAGAAAGACAAGAAGATAAATTACATATATAAGAAAAAACAACACTTGCAGTACAATTTTTATAAGAATTGAAGACACAGTGTTATATAGAAATTAAAAAAAAATTAATAAATTGGATAAATAAGGTGGAAACGTTAACACAGGGTTATGTAATCTGCCTCAGACAACTGCAAACCAAACCAGCAGGGTCCAGTGCACAACAACTCCTGACTGTTATCTTATTGGAGGGGGTTAATGTGTGTGTGTTTGCGTATGTATGTATGTCTGTCTGTCTGTCTGTCTGTATATGTGTGTATGTGTGTTGTAAAATGGGCGGGCAGGGAGGAGGAGTAGGAAAATCATCTATTGTATAGTACTTTATCTTTAATGATTTTTCTTGACAATGTTTATTTATTAAATTTGTGGGAGTTTTTTTTTGTGGGAGTTTTTTTTTGTGGGAGTTTTTGGGGGATTTTTGGGGGATTTTTTTGGGAATTTTTGTTTTTGTGGGAATTTTTGTGGGAGTTTTGTAGGAGTTGAAAGTTGATATATTAGGGTACATACAGAAGGGGGAGGGGGGACGTGCTTTTATACTTTCTACTATAATTTTTTTTTTTTTTTAGCCTTCTCGCCAGGAGTTAGTGTGTTTCTCACCTCCTGAAAAAGAAAATGAGAATCTGATGGAAATGTTGCTGGGACAATATGGTGATTCAGCCGAGACATAAAACAGAAAGATTTTTGGGTTCATCTGAGACCAAAAAAAAAAAAAGTGAAATTCTGCTGAGACAACATTTTTGAGGGGGTTCATCTGAGACACAAAAAAAATTAAATCGGCTGAGACATAAAAATTTGATTATATGAAATAGAAATAAAACCTTTGAAAGACATAAACATCACCTCTAGACATATGGTCAAAATGACTCCTGTGTTTACCATTATTGTGTAAACATTACGAACCTAACTATATTACACATAAGAACATAATATAAAACTCCTATACCTATATCATCAGTATATATATATCGAGATACCATACATATATGTACACACACACACACACACACACACATAAACGAAAACACTGAACGAATCAAAACAGCAATCGTGTTTATATTTCGAAACAGAGCAATAATAAGTTACTCAATTTCTCTCAATGGGTCATTTCCGTCCATGTACAGTATCTAATAATATAAACTGTATTTCGGTATATAACTTTCATACGCAAACGTTATGTATAAAAATAAAAGATAACACTGTCATTCCCTAAACCCAAGGTGGTGGTGGTGGTGGTAATACTGCTCATTTACTGTACCTCTAACTCTAACTTATATCTCTTGTACGTTAATATCACGCCCTGTGGCATTCCTTTATGGTAACCAGTAGTGTTGTGTCTCTAGCGTAACCAGTAGGGGTTCAGAATCCACTTATACAGGGTTTACAGAAGTCTTGCGTTTGTTTTTGGTTTTTTTCGTTGTTTTTTAAGGGATTTCTGATTTTTACTGTTTATGGGTAACTTGCAAATAGCAGTTTCCATCCTTAGGGTTACTTAGATTCTCCACTGCCTGTGCTAACACTCTTCCGCCTCCACCTCCACCACTACGAACCACTCTATCCCCTACTACGGACTATTCTTCCCTTACTACGACTCCTACAATGAGCCAACCTTGTTCTGCTGCTACCATAAGTCTTTACACTACTCCTACAATGAGCCAACCTTGTTCTGCTACTACCATAAGTCTTTACACTACTCCTACAATGAGCCAACCTTGTTCTGCTACTACCATAAGTCTTTACACTACTCCTACAATGAACCA